TAACACAAGTGCCCTGCAAGGGTGGAAGCTATATAGCCAACTACAGGTTTGAATCTACAGATCAACTTGAAAACATGCTGGGCATGCACACAGGCACCCAGGATCCTGAAGGCTGAGGAAAGGGGATAGCAGGTGTTTTGAGACCCTGTCTAGGGTGCCCCTGCTTTCTTTCACACATGTGCATGCATGCACACACACATGCACATACACACACACACTATCATATATAATAATTTGAATCTAAAAAGTATAGAATAAAATTGCCTCAAAGATGTTATTTTTAAATATTACTTTTAAAAAATCTTTTAGGATTTTGAATTATGGGACGATGTAGGATTAAACATTCCCAAACCTCCAGACTTACTGCAACTCTATCGAGATTTTGGAAATCATCAAGTGACTGGGAAAGATCTTGTGGATGTGGCCAGTGGGGAGGAAGAAGATGAGTTAGAGGCTCTTACCCCAGTTATAGGCAACCTTCCTCCAACCATTGAAACTCCCCTGCCTGTAGAGGTGAGAGATACCAACTAACTAGTCCACAAAGTATTTAAACCCTGTAAAAAATGTACTGTGAAATCTTGAGTTTCTGTTTTTTTCTTCTTGATTTTAGAACTCCTTGCTAGTGCAGAAGTTAGAAGATAAAATTAGTTCATTAAATAGTGAGAAGTGGTCATTGATGGAGCAAATCAGAAGACTTGAAAGGTTAGTACTTGCTAATCATTTCTAGGTGAGAGAACAGTAGATATTTTCAAGAGGATCTCAAGGTTGCCATTCCTCTTCCTGAGCCTCCCAATTAGCTAATATTATAGGTGCATGCTACCCAGCCTTTTTAGGTTGGTCAAGGATCCAAACCTGGCCCTCTCATTTGGTTCCAGCCTCACACATTAATGCTCTGCCACTTGCTGCATAGTGACTGTATTCCCCTTAAAGGCTTTAAAGATACTGGCAGGTTATATAAATACATGAAACATTTTAATGTCTGAAAGTCTTATAATTGCTTTATATAATTAAAATAGTAATATGTCTTTTTTTCCCAAAAAAAATTTACTAAATCAATGTAGTGATCTTATAATTACTTCTTTATTCTTGGAATTAAGAACTAAAATGTTCTGTTTTCTCCTGAGTCATGTTAGTATAAGTTGAATATCCCTTACCTGAAATGCTTGGGAGCAGAAGAGTTTTAGATTTGGATTTTTTTTTTAATATTAAAACACCTACCTCTACATAATGAGTTATCTGATGGGTAAGACCTGAATCTAAACACAAAATTCATTTGTTTCATACATACCTTATGCACTTAGCCTGAAAGAACTTTTATACAATATTTTTCTATTGCGGCAATTTGACTACACCCATCACACGACATCAGGTGTGGAATTTTCTATTTGTGGTATGATGTCAGCACTCAGTGTTTCAGAATTGGAAGTATTTCAGATTTTAGATTTTCCAATTAGGGATGCTCAACTGTTACAATAAAATAACTCCTTCACTGTGGTGCTGTACATATTCCCATTCATTATTTTATTTAATTCTTATGTTTATTCTATAGGCTCCATGTAATTATCCTTACTTTGCAAACATAGAAAGTAAGTTTAGTACTTATCCAAAGTAGAGTTTATAAGGCTATTTTCCTACTTCATTATTGACTTTATAGCTACACTTTTAGGTTTATGAAGTATCATTGAATATTGTACAAAAAAATTCATCACTTGCTAATCATTCACTATTAATATGTTATTCCTTTAAAACATTAAGACTATTATAAGGTTTATGCTATTGCCAGACCTTTCAGAAATACCATTATTCAGAAATACTGTTGTTTCTCTTTCTTCTCACAGTGAAATGGACTTCCTCAAAAATGAACACTTCGCCATCCCAGCAGTTTGTGATTCTGTTCAACCTTCTTTGGATCAGTCACCCCACAAAGACTCTGAAGGCAGTAGACAGAATTCAGTTGTAAATAGTATAGACAAGGAGAAAAACAAAGATATCCACCTTTCAATATCAGATGTTGATTCCACTACTCCTAAAGAGAATTCCCCAAATTCTTTTCCCAGGAGAGAAAGAGAAGGAATGCCATCTTCTTCTCCAGCAAGTAAAAATACAGTTCATTTTGATAAACCCAATAGGTTAGTATGCATCCTGTATTATGAAATGCATTTTTTATTTAGTATATTGTAGAAGAACTTCAATTCTTATTTGAACTATTTCTGTAGATCAGATATAAGAATTTTTACATTTGGCATGAACTTAACACATAGCAGAGTACATGTCATAAAAAAATCATGTCACACAATGATGAATTGCCGAATTAAATTTCATGAAAGAGGAATAAACCATAAATGGACTAGGTTTTGTCTTAGCTAAGTACTTAAACCTCTAAATGTCAAGCACAGTTCTCAATACTTTAATCCTTGCAGATATCCCATGGTACATTTTTAGCACAAGATCATGTTTCCTCCTTCTGTTGTATAGAGCAATGTTATACCTGGTACTAAAATAAAATAGAAAAGTATGACTAGTCTGCCTTAGACTTATAGGTTCTTATTATTACTGAGAAGTACTGTTTTTTTTCTTTTTTCCAAAAAAAGCTTTCTACTTATGAACCACAACCTTTTGTATGCATACTAGGTATATATATTTTTTCTTTAGATACTATGGAAGTTATAGACTGAAATAGTTTTGGCCCAATCCTTAAAGTATCTTTCTTCTCATATGGATAAGATAAGATCATGAAAATCTCTACTACGATACTCAGCAAGAACTTCATTTGTAGTACAGGCATACCTTTAGAGTTATTATGGGTTCAGTTCCAGACCACCGCAGTAAAGCAAATACCACAATAAAGTGAGTCACACAAAGTTTTTGTTTCCCAGTCCATACGAAAATAATGGTTAGACTATATTGTAGTCTATTAAGTATGCAATAACCTTATGTCTAAACAAACAACATACTTGAATTAAGAAATAATTCTTTATTACTAATACATGCTAACAGTCAACTGAGCATTTAGTGAATAGTAATCTTTTTCCTGGAATAGGGTCTTGCCTTCATGTTGATGTCTGCTGACTATTCAGAGTGGTAGTTGCTGAAGTTTGGGGTGGTGTGGCAATTTCTTAAAATAAGACAACAGTTAAGTTTCCCATTGATTGATTCTTTCATGAAAAATTTCTGTTTGATAGCATTTACCCACAGTAGAACTTCCATTGAAATTGGAGCTAGTACTCCCAAATTCTGCCCATGCTGAATCAATTTAGTTTGTTTAATATACTAAACCCTTTGTTGTCATTTCAACAATAATCACAGCTCCTTCACTGAGATAAGACTATCTCAAGAAACTCCTTTTCTTTGCTATTTCATAAAAAACAACTCTTCATCTATTCAAGTTTTATCATAAGATTGTAAGAATTCAGTCACATTTTCAGGCTTATCTTTTAATTCTAGTTCTTTTGCTATTTATTTTCTCTTTTTGGAGAAATCACCCCCTGGGGGAATGATCACATGACAAATCTCTTCTCCATTCTTCTCTTGGGATTGTGGGCATACACACACATCTGCCTAGTGTGATGTTAAAGCTGCTGCAGGTCTGGGACCTGACCATGGTCAGCCATGTGGAACTCCAGTGCCTCAACCACTATACCACCTTCTGACTCCTCTTCTGCTCTTTCTGCTACATCTGTAGTATCTCCACTGAAACCTTGAACCCCTTAGATCATCCATGAAACTTAGAATCGACTATACTCCTGCTGATACTGATATTTGGACCCCCTTCCATGAATCACAAATGTTCTTTTTTAATTTGCTAGAATATGTGTGTACTTGCCAGACATAGACAGAAGGAGAGATGGAGGGAGGGAGGAAGAAAGAGAGAGAGAGAGGAAGAAAGCACCTCCCAGTGTGGCATGGGCATTTTGCAATCCCTTCTCCACCATTTCTCTACCCTTTCAGAATTTTAACACACACATCCAACATGTTTTTCAGGCTGCTGAGTCTAGGATTGGAAATGTGCAGTCATCCTTGCAGGATCTGGTTCCCCTAACCAGTAGGCCTCGAGGCCAGCCCTTTCAAATGTTCTTTAATGCCATCTAGAATTGATGAATACTTTTTAGAAGGTTCTCAGTTTATTTGACCCAGATCCATCAAAGGAATCACTGTCTATTGTAGCTACAGCCTTATAAAATACATTTTTTAAATATTAAGACTTGAAAACTGAAACAGCTCCTTGATTCATGGGCTGCCGAATTGGTGTTGTATTAGCAGTTAAGGCAATGTAAATTTTCTTGTAAATCTCCATCAGAGATCTTGGATGACTAAGTGTATCAGAGCACTCAAGTGGCCAGGTGTGTTTTCAATGAGCAGTAATATTTTGAAAGGAATTTTGTTTTATAAGGAAACTATGCTGTAAACAGATAAACTGTCCTCCAGACTGTGCTCAATTTATAGAGCACAGGCAGAGTGGATTTAGTATTTCCTGAAGGCTCTAGGATTTCCAGAATGGTAAATCAGCCTTGTTTGCAACATAAAGGAACCAGCTGCTTTAGCTTTAATGAATCAGTCTTTTAACCTTTGAAGGGAGGCATTGACTTTTCATAGATAGCATCTTCTTCCCATACAAGGCTGTTTAGTCTACATCCAAAATCTGTTTAGTGTAGTCACCTTCATCCATATGAGCTACATGTTGCTAGAGAACTTGTTACAGCTTCCACATCACTTGCTGCTTCACCTTGCACTTTCATATTATGGAAATAGCTTCTTAAATCTCATGAACCAACCTCTGCTGGCTTCAAACTTTTGTTCTGTGACTTCATTATCTCTCTGTCTTCATAGAAGAGAGTTGAGGCATTGCTCTGTATTAGGCTTTAGTTTAAAGAAATATATAACTGGTTTGATCTTCTATCCAGATCACTAAAACTTTCCTGTAAAATGAGTTCATCTCCCCATCATCCATATGTTCACTGGAGTAGCACTTTTAATTTCCTTTAAAAATTTTTTCTTTGCATTCATAACTTTTCTTTATATTCATAACTTGGCTCCCTTGCAAGAGGTATAGCTTTCAGCCTAGTTTTTGATGTAAAGTGAGATGTTCAACTCTTCCTTTTCTTTGAATACTTCAAGGCCATTATAAGGTTTTTACCAGGTTTAAATTAATACTGTCATATCTCAGGAAGTGAGGAGTTCTAAGATGGTGATGGCCAGTCAGTGGAAGAATCAAAACACAACTTTTAAAGATTAAATGCACTAGGGGCCGGCAGGTGGCCTGGACTCCTACATGACCAACTATGGTTTAAGTCGGACCTGGTGGCTTCCTTTCTCACTTTTCCTCTCTGTCTGGTCAAATTGGAAAATAATAATTAATAAAGTTAAAATAATTCTTTAAAAAAACATTGAGTTCACTCTCTTATATGAACACCATTTTTGCTATCTCAAAATAATTAGAATAGAGTTGGCAAAGTTCACAGATCACTATAATAGATAATTATGAAAAAGTTTGAATTATGGCAAGAATTACTGAAATGTGACAGAAGTGAGCACATGCTGTTGGTAAGGACACCATATACTTACTTGCAGCAATGTTGCCACAAACCTGTGATTTGTAAACAAGTCAATGTCTAAAAAGTAAAATAATAAGACAGGTATACCTATAGTTCTTTAGTATTTAGAAGTACTTCTATGTTTCCTTTGGTACTCCAAAGGCACCCTATGAAAATAATTGTTAAATTTGTTCAACTAATTCTTTTAGCTCTTACTATGTGCCAGTGTTATAAGGAATATAATGATGAGGAAGATATATGGGAATACCTTTAGTTACAAATCTTATAGTCAAATAATTGATTACACTAAGGTAGAAAAAGTAGTAATATGGGAGGTCTTCAAATAGTTCATGAATTAACAGTCTTTAGCACTGAAATAAATTTTTAGTTTAATCCCATTCCATAAACACTTTGAAGTTCCCTAATCTTAGAGAAATTAAACTTGCTTTAAGAGTACACCGTCAAGGCACGTAGCCTGATTATCAAAGCAGGAAAGGTTTTATGGAAGAAGTGTCATTTAATTTGTGACATGAAGGCTTAGTTAACCAGTGAAAAGATAAACACAACAGCTCCCACTAAAGAATAGTGTGTGCAAGGAGAACACAGTGCTTTGGGGGAATTAAAAGGGATTTGGTAAAATTTTCAGCGAAAAATACCAATGAAAGGAATGATAGGAAATGAAGTTGAAGAATTGAGTGAAGACTAAGTCTTCCAAGTTTGTGTTTACTCATTTTACTGTCAAGACTTGATGGTGTCTAAGTTTTGGAAAGGATCCTCTCGTAATTGGAAGGTAGGAAGACTGGAGGAAGGGAGACTGGTGGAGTGTATGGGAAGAATTCAGGTACGAAATTTAGAGCATTGGCAATGGGAATGGAAAGATGTGGAAAGATATGCAAGTTAATTTTAAGAACATAAATGAGCAAAAAAGCTCTGACTTTGGCATACAACTCCAGTTCTACAATGATAAAATTACAGAGTGCCATATTGCAGTGTATACTAAATAAGCTTTATTATATAATTTTTTGTATAGCTTTTGGAAGTTGAACACACAAAGTATAACTCTAGTATTCTACTATATAGAGACCAATAATATTTTTAAAATATGTCATAACCTTTATTAAACATAGCTAACATTTTCACTTGCAAAAATATGTACATGCGTAAGCACACACAATAAATGTTGAATGAGTCTCTGTTTTAAACTTTGCTTCTTTTATGTGAGTTTCTAGTTTTAAGGTTTATCATTTCATACATATATATTGGGTTGTCAGAAAAGTCCTGACACATTTTTACATGGGAAAACATAAATACTTCATGACTTTTCTGACGACCCAATATATAAGACTTTAATACTGAAAACATCCTAACATTTATGTCCACATTACCTTTATGTACCTTTTGGGGACCATAGGGAATTGATGTTGAGGAAAGTACTCATTTAATTTTACAAGTACTTTTATAGTCATTGACTTACTATGCCATTTTAGGTTTGGTCCATTAATCCTTAAGGGCTATTTTACCAAGTTATTTCCAATCAGAAGTTACTGTTAGTTTTTTCTCTCCTGTATAGTTCTCCAGTGATTATCCTTTAAGTCACTGATGGCTGAGAAATCTAGTTAACAATGGTGTGATAACATTAATACAGGAATGGTAGTTACCATGTATAACTTACTTTCTTCTTAAAGGTCAGTGGTAGTTGGTATTTGTCTCCTTTTCATCCAATATTTTCTTCTAGGAAATTGTCTCCTGCTTTCCACCAAGCACTACTCTCTTTTTGTCGAATGTCAGCAGATAGTCGCTTAGGATCAGAGGTAACTTATGGCAGATAGTCTTACAACTTTCTTAAAACATTCTGACGCTTTTCTTCTTAGTGTTTTATACAAATGTTTCTGTGATAAGACTATTTCAAATGTAAATCTATTGTTTAAAATAATGTACTAAGAAAGAACTCCTATAATTTTAATCTTTTAAGGAAGTCGGTTGATTATTTCTGTTCTTTATTAATATTAAAGTGGCCATTTGTAATTTCTGTATAATGTTATGTGTAATGATAGCATCTTTTGGGTATAATTTAGAAAACCAACTTAAGTGTACATTGTTTATAATTCAGGTACTTTTAGGTTACTCCCTTAGTTTCGTTTAATTAGAAGTGATTATCTGATAGCTGAGTTAGCTTTTCTCAAATATCTTGTAATTGTTGCAGGATCACTTTGAGAGGATGTTGCTGGGTTTTTTTCCTCCTGTCTTTGTATTCCTCCCTTTCTAGGTATTTTGTGGTTGATTCACTTGACCTCTTCCAGGCGTTTTTCCCAATGTCATTGAGAATATCAAAGAGCTGGAGAATAGTCTGACAATCCTTATTATAGAAGTAGGTCAGTTTTCTTTGGCCACTCCTTATATTGCAGCTTCATTGTGCAAACATTGTGTTAGGCAGTGGCTGCAATTTTAAAGACATTTTCACTTGCAAAAATATGTACATGCGTAAGCACACACAATAAATGTTGAATGAGTCTCTGTTTTAAACTTTGCTTCTTTTATGTGAGTTTCTAGTTTTAAGGTTTATCATTTCATACATATATATTGGGTTGTCAGAAAAGTCCTGACACATTTTTACATGGGAAAACATAAATACTTCATGACTTTTCTGACGACCCAATATATAAGACTTTAATACTGAAAACATCCTAACATTTATGTCCACATTACCTTTATGTACCTTTTGGGGACCATAGGGAATTGATGTTGAGGAAAGTACTCATTTAATTTTACAAGTACTTTTATAGTCATTGACTTACTATGCCATTTTAGGTTTGGTCCATTAATCCTTAAGGGCTATTTTACCAAGTTATTTCCAATCAGAAGTTACTGTTAGTTTTTTCTCTCCTGTATAGTTCTCCAGTGATTATCCTTTAAGTCACTGATGGCTGAGAAATCTAGTTAACAATGGTGTGATAACATTAATACAGGAATGGTAGTTACCATGTATAACTTACTTTCTTCTTAAAGGTCAGTGGTAGTTGGTATTTGTCTCCTTTTCATCCAATATTTTCTTCTAGGAAATTGTCTCCTGCTTTCCACCAAGCACTACTCTCTTTTTGTCGAATGTCAGCAGATAGTCGCTTAGGATCAGAGGTAACTTATGGCAGATAGTCTTACAACTTTCTTAAAACATTCTGACGCTTTTCTTCTTAGTGTTTTATACAAATGTTTCTGTGATAAGACTATTTCAAATGTAAATCTATTGTTTAAAATAATGTACTAAGAAAGAACTCCTATAATTTTAATCTTTTAAGGAAGTCGGTTGATTATTTCTGTTCTTTATTAATATTAAAGTGGCCATTTGTAATTTCTGTATAATGTTATGTGTAATGATAGCATCTTTTGGGTATAATTTAGAAAACCAACTTAAGTGTACATTGTTTATAATTCAGGTACTTTTAGGTTACTCCCTTAGTTTCGTTTAATTAGAAGTGATTATCTGATAGCTGAGTTAGCTTTTCTCAAATATCTTGTAATTGTTGCAGGATCACTTTGAGAGGATGTTGCTGGGTTTTTTTCCTCCTGTCTTTGTATTCCTCCCTTTCTAGGTATTTTGTGGTTGATTCACTTGACCTCTTCCAGGCGTTTTTCCCAATGTCATTGAGAATATCAAAGAGCTGGAGAATAGTCTGACAATCCTTATTATAGAAGTAGGTCAGTTTTCTTTGGCCACTCCTTATATTGCAGCTTCATTGTGCAAACATTGTGTTAGGCAGTGGCTGCAATTTTAAAGAGCATCTTGAAAAGGACAAAAATGAACAAGAAAGCATTGAAGCTGCCTCAGTCCTGCGCTATTCCCACTTGTTTCCTGAGTGAAAACCTATTAGACCTCTCTGGCTTCACTTCTGTTTTTCACTGGTATTTTAAATTCATTTCTGGCTCACAGATGATGCTGTTTGGGGACACTTTTTGTTTCTTATTGTTGTTGTTATCATGAGTTATAATGTTGGAAAGTGTATTTAGAGTAGAGGTGGCAGGGTCTAAAGCATGAACTTTTACACCATGTTGTGCACAGAAGTTCTCCACTGTCATCATTTATTGATTCTTTCTAGGTATCTCGGATTGCAGACAGTGAAAAAAGTGTTATGTTAATGCTGGGACGCTGCCTGCCACACATTGTTCCAAATGTACTGTTGGCAAAGAGAGAGGTAAGACACATCAAAATATTTCCATTCCAGTAGTTCCCATCATGTTACCCATTTTTTTGTCATTTTGATGTTTAGTGTTATACTTTTATTTTGTTAAAGTCTATTACTTGCAATCATATTCTTACTTTTGTGCATGCATCTCTGCTCCTAGAGAATGGTTTTACACCTCTGTCAGGTGAGTTCAGTAAAACTGCATGGTATCATGTTTTTCCAATTGTGCTTAAAGCATCGTTAGCTTTTGCAGCACTAACTATTACTGTAGGTCCGTTAATGTGACATGAACACTGTCTGTTTTTTTACATTACCAGTTAATTAATTTACTTTAGCTTTGCCTTTGGTATGAGATGCTTTATATGTTTATAAAAATAGACAGACATTCTTTGTATTGAAAATTAACAGGGACTAATAATGTAACTTTTCTTAAATGTACTAGTAGTTACCCATTATAAGTGTTAGTTTTATTATGTTCGTATGGCAATAAATTATCATTATAATGATAAGATAGTCATAATATTGACTATAATAACTTTAAAAGTACCTTTTCTACTTCCTTGTAATTAACCTGTGTTGAGAGATACTATATATATCTAAAATAGAGTTGTAAGTATAGTCTATATAGCCTACAGTATGAGTTAAACACTATAGGAAGTTATCTTTATAGTTATATTTATAAATTATTTTAACATATAATATTTAGCCAATAAATGATAAGGAAATGATCTGTAATCTGATTTAAATGATAATGGATAATTTATTAGCAAATAAGTTAAATATTTGTTTGAATTATTCAATTTATGAGATAACTTTCCACTTCACAAAATTTTTATTAAAAAGTGATTCAAGACTATCTTAGAATATAGCATATAATTTCTCTAGTTACCTTTTTAATAATTACTGCTGATTTTACTCCTAATTCATGGGACCTACAGTATGATAGGTATAGAATGCATTGGCAAAACCCATTTAAAGCTTATCTTTATTCATTTAGCACAAGAAATTTGTACTGATCCTCAAGAAAATGTGTAGAACTTTCAAAAATTTTATTCCTATTAGTCTTTTTTAATTAAGAAAAAGAAAAACTATGTTTCCTTACTATATGATTTAATTAATACCTAATTATTTTCAAGTAATAAGATACTGATAAGTATGGAAAGTGTTTGTCTTGAAGGATCAGTGTCCAATTTCAGATTGTTTTGCAGTTCTGCCTGGCAGAATGGCGTTTGAGCTTCTTTTCCTTTTTCAGCTTGTAACATAATCCATGTAATGCATTAATGTTTGCATCCCTTTTACAATATTTCCTTAAAATAATCTTTACAATGGCATAGAAACCTAATTATGAGATGCAGTTTTAGCTTTTTTATTTTAATTTTTCATATTATTGTAAGACTCTACCACCAAAATCTGATTGTACTGCATGAAGTATTTATGAATTTGCATCATAAGTAATCAGATACATTATATATATAGACTTATATATATATATATATATATATACACACACATACATGCACACATACATCTAATTTGTGGTATGATTATATTCCTGGATGATTTTAAATTTTTTATATTTAAAAATAATTATGTACTTATTTAATGAGCACTGATCATTTATCTTTGTTTAATTATTTGTACTTTGTTCTATTTTATCAGAAAATTTGCCTTTTTTAATAAAACAACTGTATTCTCTCAAATAAATTGCTAAATAATAAAGTATATGCTAGTTTGTTTTAAAACTAATCTCTGAATATAAAGGACAAAACTTATTGAATTCCTCAATATTGAGTTACTTTTTAATATTTTACCCCAATTTTTTTAATCTACACTTTTAGAAAATTTGTGATTAAAAGATTAATATTTTCACTTTTTTTACTTGTCAGATTTTATGTATATTATCTTATTAGCATAAGCTCTTTTATTGATATGTAATTATAAGTAAAATATTCTCAGTAAACTGATTGATTACAGTAATATTGTAGCTAATTAAATATATAAAACATTTAAACGGAGTTTAATGTTTTGATTAATGCATTCACAGGGTTTTACAGTCTTTAAATATAAAAGGATATACAGTGACAGATTTTCTTTTTGCTCTGTCCTTGAGCCATTATCCCACATGCACTTGATTTTTTGACTTCTAGTATATTCTTTGATGCCCTTTAACCATATTTTAATTGGATTGTCTTCATGTTTTTGAGTTTCTAGAGTTGTTTATATATTACAGATAACAATATGTCATCTATACCCTTCTCACATATATGATTTGCAAATATTTTCTCCCATTCTGTAGGTTGTCTTTTTATATACTTGATAATGTCCTTTTAGATAATTTTTCTTTTAGAGAGAGTTTTTTGGTATAGAGTGTATGCACTCACTGGAGAGACAGGCAGAAAATGAGAAATCACCTCCCAGGGAGGATGGCCATGCCTCAATCCCTTCTCCATTCTCCTCTCGGGATCTTGGGCACGCACGCACACGTGCCCAGTGTGAGTTTCAAGCTGCTGGGTCCAGGACTGGAACTGCAGTTGACCATGTGGGAGTCCAGCAACCTAACCATTATACCATCAACTGGTTTCGGTAATTTTTTTAATAATCTGATTCATTTTCTCTTTTCTTTTGTTGCTTATCCTTGTGGTGTCACATTTAAGAATCCATTGAAAAATATATAAGTCAGGAATCTTAATTCTGTATTTTCTTCTAATGGTTTTATAGCTTTAGCTCTCATATTTAGGTAATTAATCTTTTTTGAGTTAGTTTTTATATATGGAGTATTGTAAGATCCAACTTTTTTTTTTTTCATTTTTCTATTAATTGTCCCAGCAACATGTATTGTTCAAGAGAAAATATTTCACTATCAAGTGGTCTTGCCACCTTGGTCAAAAATCCTTTGGTTATAGATTTTCTTAGATTTATTTCTGAACTCTTCATTCTTTTCTGAAAGTTTATGTAGCTAACCTCATGTGTCATATTGTTCTAATTACTGTAGTAAGTTTTGAAATTGGGAAATATAAGTCTTCCAACTTCATTATACTTTTTTAATATTGTTTGGCTATCTAGGGATTTTTTTTCATTTCCATACACATTTGATGCTGAGCTTTCCATTTCTGCCAAATTATTGGAATCTTGAAGATAATTACATTGAATCCGTAGATCACCTTGGTGGTATTTCCACTCTAACAACATTACATCTTCCAAGTCATAGACATGGGGTGTCTTGCCATTTATTTGGATCTTCAATTTCTTTCATTATTGTTCTGCAATTTTCACTGTAGAAGTCCTTCATTTCCTTGGTTATTTCCTAGCTGTTTTATTCTTTTAGATGGTATTGTAAATGGAATTACTTTCCTAGTTTCCTTTTTAGGACATTCATTACTAGTGTATAGAAACACAACTGGTATTTGTGTGTTGATCTTATACATTACAAACTTGCCAAATTTGTTTATTGTCTGTCTTATGGGTTCTATGGGATTTTTTACATATATAACCATGTCATCTGCACGTAGAGGTAAATTTGCTTCCTCTCTTCCAATTTGGATAGCTTTTATTTTTTTTCTCTTGCTTAATTGCTATGGCTATGACTTCTAGTACAATGTTGAATAGTGTTTTGAGAAAGCAGACTTGTCCTAATCTTAGGGGAGAAACTTTGTCTTTCACCATTGAGTATGATGTTAGCTGGAGGGTTATTATAAAGGCCCTATATCATGTTAAGGAAGTTTCCTTGTATTCCTAATTTGCTGAGTGTTTTTACCATAAAAGGATGTTGTATTTTGTCATATGCTTTGTCCACCCACATCTGAGGGATTATGTGATTTTTTTCCCCTTTGTTCTATGAAGGTGGTATATTACATTCATTTTTATGTCGGACCTAACCTTTCTACTCCTGTGATAAATCCCACTTAGTCATGGTGATAATTTTTTTAATATGCTTTTGGAATTGGTATTGCTATTTTGTTGGACATTTTTGTATCTATATTGATAAAGAATACTGGTCTGTAGTTTTTTTGTAATATCTTTATCTGGTTTTGGTATTATGCCAAGCCTGGTCTCTTAGCATGTGTAGAAATGTTTATCTTTTCATTTTTTTTAAAAATCAGTTTGAGTACAATTATTCTCTAATTTTTTTCTTTTAAATTTATTTTACATTCATTCACTGTACATTATCACAGTATACACAATGCTATTTCCCATCCAGACTACACTGTATATTGGCTTAATATAAAAATGTTAAGAGAAATTTGCTTAAGACTTAAAGCCAGGAAAAATGTAAGGTTTCTGTTCAAATAGTAGGTAGATGAACCTATCAAAAGCTCAAGAGAAGAGAAAATCCTTAAATCTGGAAAGCAAAGCATAGAAGAAAATCAATAATGTTTTAGTCAAAAGTCATAAAATTCTGTTTCACCAGTTCAGTCTCATGTAATTAATCTCTCTGCTGTTGTGGTCCGATCTTTCCATTTACATTCAAAAGTTAGCATTCAACTCTGGACTTGCCCCTACCATTAAGTTGGCCATTTTCTTGATTGTTTTTTGGACTCTTATTTCTGTGTGTCTGTCTATAGTTTTTCTGAAATATCACACCATTCAGAACTTTTTGGAGAGCTGGTCTGATGTTGGTAAATTCTTTTAGGTTTTGTTTATCTGAGAATGTTTTTTTCTTCCCTTCCCATATGAACAATAATCTTACTGGGTAACGAATTCTTGGTTCAAATTATTTTTCACTTAACACTTTGAATATATTTTTCCATTCTTTCCTTGCTTGCATTGTTTCCAATGGGAGATCTGCTGTTAGCCTAATGGGATATCTTTTGTAAGTAACCTGACGTTTCTCTCTTGCCAATTTTTGTATCTTGTATTTGTCTGTGGTTTTGGTTAATCTAGCTATGATGTGCCTTGGAGAAGACCTTCTTGGGTTGATTCTATTTGGGGTTCTTTATATTTCTTGGGTCTGGATATTTGAATGCCTCTCTAGGTTTGGGACGTTTTCTTCCAGTATTTCATGGAATACA